GAGTCAAGATGGGTTCGCATGCAACATGCTAGTAGCGAGCTTGCCAACAAGTTATCAGGTTATTACACAATTGTCGCTCACAACTTGTTAACAGGTTGTTGGAACAACTTGTAACAAGTCTGTAGTGTTAAGCCAACAACCTTGTAGCATGTTGTTAACAAGCTGGGAACAACAAGTGCGAACACATCTTGATAACAAGTTGTTGAAACATCATTGGTATAAGTCTGCTGTATATAATAGGTTTGTTACAGTTGCGCGTTTTTACGTGCGTATGCAGTTTCCTGATTATAGTTTTATTGCAATGGCATGGGAGAATGGTGCTTAGCTTCTAGTAGAAGTCGAGTCGCAGAAACACACTAAATTGTACTAGCACTGAAACAACAAAGGACGACCTTTATACTGGAGCTCCGGGAGAACAGGTCAGAACGGGTAGAAATATCTATGGTGTGAATTGAATTGAATTGAATTGAGTCGGTTTTGTTTGTAAAGAATACGATTTTTCCGTTTCTCTACAATAGTCTACCTGAAAATCAAGTGGCTTGTCTGGCAAGGAAAATCTCTGTTTCTTTATTTCGTCCGATCTAAGAAAACAAACAAATGTTTGACAATAATGACATTATTCGTTTTATATTATATGCTACGAAATTTCAAATCACGTTCGCGATTGACTTATTTTTTTACTGATCTAATTTTAAATCCTATTAATCCCTAAAATGACCTTTTTGAATCCCGTCCTTCCTTGGTACTGTCAGTCTCTGCATCTTCTTGACCATTTTCTTTATCGTTGTCAGCCTCCGTTCCGTTTGATGTCGGACATGTGTATTCCAGATCACAGGAAAATTTATACTGAAGTAATAAAGAAAAAGAATATATACCTACTCCATCTTTCTATAGTTGTTTTTTCATTGAACTTTCATTTTGGTATATTAAATTTTTTTATTTATACATTTTAGAAAGAACAATGATACCTCGGTAGGATTTCCATAGCCATCAGTGAGATTGACATCAACATGAATTTTGTTTTCCTTACTTTCCACAAGTGATTCCAAGAATAGCTTTGCTTTACCTAAAAGTCTGCAAGATATGCAAATAAGGAATTTCAAAATATTTTCGAATATACTACTTTTACCAGTTGTATTTGAATTGTTCCCACACAAGAAAAACTATCACTATACAGGAAAAGGTTCCTTGTTAATGTACAATGGAATTATATAAAAGATTTACACACTGCAAAATGATTGTACTTCAATCAAAGAAGATTGTACCTTGACTAAGGAAAGATAACGAAGTTTTAACGAGTCTTTACCTATTTTTCCAATACTTTTCTTGTTCAAAAATTTTGATTTTAACATAGTCCGTTGGTTGCAAGTCGTATGCGTGCAAATCCCATTCCAACGTCTGCAAGATATATTAAACATTTCTTTAAAAAAATTTAGAAAGCAAACTTAGTTATAAAGATAGAGTTAAATATGGACTGATAATTCTGGTTTTTTTTGCAAATGGACGTGACTAACCTCTTTCCAAACTGTTTCTAATTCTTCTGTTACTGCAAGTTCTGCTTTTCTTTTCACACCTAAAAATAAGTTAAATGAACGATTGATGATGCATATGCAGTGAAAATTTCATCACCAGTATTCTTGTTGCATCTTTAATTTATTGACTGAAAATAAGTTAAATGAACGATTGCTTAAAGATGCATATGCAGTGAAAATTTCATCATCAGTATTTTGTTGCATCTTTATTGACTGAAAATAAGTTAAATGAACGATTGCTTAAAGATGCACATGCAGTGAAAATTTCATCACCAGTATTCTTGTTGCATGATTGCATCTTTATTGAAAAAGAACTTCAAAATGATAAAATCACAGCCTTTACATTTTTTCCATATTTTGCCGCATTTCTTGATATAATTGAATGTTTGTTCGATATTGAAACTTCACAGTACTGTCAATAGTCTTACTGTATAATGATTAATGGGGTCATTGAACGATCATGCAGTTATATTTGAAATTAAGATTTTAATGAAGTCATTCAAATTTCAAAACTTCTTTAATTTCTTTTGTAGCATCTGACTAGATTGGCAGATATACCCATTTCCTTAGCCACAAAATATGCATTATATTTCAAATATTTTGTCTATATATAATTATTCGAGTTGACGTCATAACGTCAATATATCTTAAGAATGCAAGAAGTATGGGAAAAGTGTAAAGGATGAATAGGTCATAGTTTTAAAGTATAAAAGATAGATATAAGGGTAGATTCTTAGGAAGCCTAAATTTAAGCACTATATGAATATTATGTATTCTATACTGGATTACCTCTGTACAATCTAACCGAGCTAACTTTGGTACATATTACAGGTAGTCATGCATATTAGATATCTCAAGATGTGCTTATATATTAATCTAGTACGCGGATCGACTTGAAAAACAGTTACTTATGTTTCATGTTTGGGTTTGTTACCAGTTTAAATCTTTTTTTTTTACTTGTATACTTTTTTTACTTTTACTTTTTTTTTACTTTTACTTTACTTTGTTTTGCTATACATGAATTTAGAGTGCGCTTTTTGTCTTATACGCCCACGCCACATAAAAAGTGACCGCAGTCATTCAAATATACTGTGCCTAAACATCAAGCCACTTCAATATTGGTCCTTGTTACTGTAAAAGCTAGCTCGCATGGTGTTCACATGGGAACGGAATTTAGTTAGAAATCTACAAGGGCTATATAGCCCTTAGTATACAATACATTTTTCAAACGCTTTACTTTGACCAAACTGGAATCGATGAATTGATTTCCTAAACAGCAGGTATGTATTATACAGTTCGTAACGAAAGTAGATTTACTGTAAAATGAAAATGTGCAACAAGTTTTCCTTTACTAAATATAGTTTGAATATGTCCTGAAAATATGCAATGCCAATGGCTATACATTCCTTTTTTGTCCTTGTTTTTGAAATGCTCCTTGTATAACAATGCGCGACTGTCATATTTGCATTCTGTTGCATTTAGTTCTCATAAACTGTGATAATTACCAGCGCGCACAAATGGGAATTAATTACCATGCACATATCACACAATTATATGATTGAAGGAAATTCCCAAGCGAGCGTGTCGACCACATGTGGCTGAACAAGATAACCAAAAACTTCCTCAAAAGCATAATATACGACTCAGAAGCCATTTAGATAACTTTTATAACTTTTATAAAATAGAAACAAGCGTACTTTTTTATCGCTTTTTTTGGTATAATTATTGTGCCCTGCAATTACGATCGCGGACTTTTTTTGAGTTAAAGAATTCGATGAGTCATGGGAATATTAGGATTTGAGAGAATTTAAGAGATTATATTGATATCAGCTCATTTTGTACTACCATTTCCCACCATTTTAGGTGAATTTAATTAACGAGGAATTTAAGTCTTCTCTACATAAGCTCCGGACTAATTTTATGACAATACGTCGGAAGAATCAGTATATACGTGCGTGCATGGAAACTATATCGGATGCAAGAGTTGACAACGGCTTATATTATTATTAAACCGCATCATTTTACTCTCTCAGCCCCGACTTTGCAGCTCATTTAGATTCCTCACGAATTTTGAAATTACTTCGTATATGATAGCTTTATAGATAATTTATTTGTCAGGGCGCAATGGAACAAAGTAAGCATTAAGAGTCGCAGTTCAGCTTTAGATCTGTTTATAGGAGCAAGCAAGCAAATGAAACATCTCTCGATACCATTCAATATTTGCTTCCAAGTTCCAACTTAATTATCACAAGATTTTGACAACTGATGGTTGATCATCATCTGCCGCACGATAATGCCAACCTATAGACTAAACTAATTGTGAACTTAACCCCACCAAGTCACCGCTTTTCTGTGGAGTAATCTGAAATATGTTGCCGTGATCAAAGCAATATAAACTATACGCATGCATAATACCGCCATATAAAACAACACTTTTACCTTTGAATTCCAATACAAGAAACGGTGCGCCACCTTTGGTCTTCTTTTGCAAGCCCACCAAGTTCACAGCCTTGAAATTTAGGCCTCTGAAGATGTATTCCGAGATAATTCGCTTCTCCGACTTCTCTCGCTCCATAATTCCGGCTTTCACCCGTTCAACACAGCATTTACCGTATGTCTTCGCTCACGTGTTGAAAATGTTTCAAATCCAAATTCATAGTAAAAGCGTGAAGTTTAAGTCGACATAAAAATTCATTCGACGATATGCTTCTATGGCCTTCTACATAAAAAATGCTCCGACCCACGAAGCGAATCGCCGTCCCGTAGTTTTTCTAATGAAATATCGCTATGCTCGAGTGAGCTCTTAAACATCGCATACATATACTCAAATGTTTTTCAAAAATGGTAATGCGGTTCAATTTCGTACCAACTACGGAGTCAAAACAATGTCAAATGATGTTTTTTGTCAAAGCTTACCCGCGGTGGCTCAATATACATGGAAATTGTAAAGACTATACGTCATGATCATTGATTGAAACAGTGTCATCCGTTTCGACCTCTTTGCTTTCATCTGCCTTAAAGAACTTTTGAATCAAAGGCAACGTTTGCACTCTACTGGATCGCTTTCTGATAGCGGCGCGACAAAGCTCAGGTTGATGACACGGAGAATACACCACCTGTGGGGAAGTATATGTCACTTTGGTGGCTACAGAGTCTCGTTTTCGAGTATCCGACGTTAGTTAAAGCCCACGCTTCAATCACGAAAACGAGGCTTAATAACCAAAGTGACATACGTTTCGGAAGCGCGAATCATTCTGGTTTGCCATATTTTGTTACAAAATATACAGGCATCTTTGCAAGTTTGCATTTCCCCATATCTTATGCCATAGAAGAAAACTTGGCTCGGAATTACCAAACATTTTAACATTTCTTTTCTTGCAAGTCGTTCTTTCTTCTTGTTAGTTTGTTGACAAAGAGTGTAAACAAACAAACGACTAATATATCTGGCAAAAATAAATATCAAAGACTTTGGCAAATCAAGGTATAATTCCATTTAATTTATTCAATAAGTAATTCTAGGTAACAAAAATACTAAATCTGTGCAAAGCACATTTACTCTCATTGTACGGAAGAAAAAATTAGACTATCTATGGAATGCACGCCATTAGGGGAAGCACACTCCTTTAAATAAAGGACGATATAGGAATCTTAAAGTCGAAAACTATTGTAGAAATGAAGGCATATTAATATAAGTGCTAGGCGATTGTATTCACTAACTGTTAACCCCATTTTTAAAGTCTTTGTGGACTGCAGTTTAGACATTGAATATTTTCTTGACGGTATAACCCTGGAAGGAAAGTTGTTAAATCATTTAATAATTTGGGAACAAATATAAATAGAGGCGAAGAAAAATTGTACAAATTTAGCCCTTATAAGAAAATTAAGAAGATAATGCACCTTAACTCGAGGGGCTAAATGGATACGTACCAAGGAGGGGTGCTGGTCAGAAACTGTATAGTAACGGAAGAAGGGGCAGAGTAGACAGAATAGATGATTTGACTGTGCAAAAGAGGATCTGATCAGCAAAGAACTGAAGGTGGACATGTCAGGGTAAACAAAACGTTGAAAATATTACAAGCGACAGGGTTAAAGAAGAATAACATAATATAACTACAACATCATTCTATAAACTGCATACATAAATACAAAATTTAAACCTACCGGCATTGAATAAAGGAACAGAGCGATGATTCCAATCAACAACAGTAGAAGAATGGCACCAATGATATACCACTTGAAGTTCTTCCAAATGATGAATTTAAATGATTTCCAGGGTGATGTAAGGAAGAAGAATGATGTGGCAGGACGTCTGTGATATAGAATTAAAAAGTAAAGTTAAATTATGCGAAACAGTCTAAAATGTTTTTTCGTTACAGCCTTAGGACGAATTCCCTAGTTTTACGTGTCTTGAATGTGACTTTGCAACATACGTGGCGTTTCCATGCCATGCATTTCCATTACACTATCACCATGCAAAACTACAAAAGAACTTAATATGAAAAGATGTTGGTTTGAAAATACATTGCGTCACAAATCCCTCTGTGGCCTGGAAGCCCCGTTTTCATGAATCGTAAATGACAGGATGTACGACTTACTTGGGTTCAGGTAAGGTTGGATAAGAATTTGGTTCGTCACGTGCGTTTGCTGTTGGTTTCTCGAGCGTCTCTTGTTCACTTAACAACTCCATCGTCAGCTCAACTTTACCCTGCATCAAGAAACCCCCACAAAATTTAAATCAGGAAAAATTAAAACAGATAACGTTTTCACTCAATACTCGAAAATGCCTAGTTCCAGTCGTTCTGAAGCAAGCGCGAGAAAAAAACGTGTATGTAGTACGAGACTGGGACCTAGGTGTGATGTCACCGCTAAAGGTGCTTCAGAACGCCTAGCGGATTTCAGTATTTTTAATATGGCGGAAAATTTATATATACAAATAACCTTGTAAATACGACAATGTTCGTTGATCATGTTCGATCTCTACATAACCAAATTCAAACTGTATTAAAAATGTGCTCAATTAAAAAATATATACAAATTTACGACGCTGAGTCTGAGCAATGGTCGTATAATCGTTGATGATATTTATATACCCGCAAGTTGTGATCAGCAGTAGACCATGATACTGGTATACACAACTACGCTTTCTACTTGACAGTTTTAAGTAGCTGAAGAGATTGGAAATATTTGCCTGACATGACTGTGTTGTCGAAACATTTTTAGTTGACTCGGCATAATTTTCAAGTTTCTAGATATAATTTAATATGGGATATATATTTTAGTAAACACGAGTCATATTTAGCCCGTTATTCCATTCTGGTAGCGAAACGTAACCAATTTCATTGTTCCGACAGCATTAGAGCAGAACTAATGACTTAATTATAAACGCAAAGGAAATTTCCATAACATTTTCTATTTACAAATGCGGTATGCTTGGTAACCAGGCCAGGGACCACTTTTTTGAAATCAGGGACCATTTTACCGAAATCTGCTAGGCTCTCTCGCTGAAGCGTTCCGCACAGCACACCCAGGCATAAAACGTTTAAGACTTATTTAAATATATCAAAGCAGCGAATGGAGAGAGAGCCTGGGACTAGGCTGGATCCTTACCATTAAAGCGGGATCTTTCTTTCCTTTAGTTTCAATCTCCCCAAACACAGGCCACCAACCATACGTTTGCTTCAAATCGAACAGAGATACAACCTTTCTTCCTTCGAGACAGTTGATGTCCTTGATCTTGTTGGGCTTCGAGAATGGTGAGGGGAGTTGATCAAGGGGCAGATCAACTGAACCTAAACGAAAAGTCAAAATCAAATTATACCCTGAGGCCATGTGCATAACTCCGCCTTAGCTATCGATTATAAGAAAGGAGTTTGGCGGCTCACTGGTGAAGTTCCACCTTGGTAATGTGTCACAATGTAACTGGGATTTGATTGTATTTTTCTAAAGCGAGTAAGCTTTGGGCATCATTCCGTTCTAAAGAATAAGTACATGCAATGTCGAATTCAATATTCACACGTTCTATACAAATAACTAACCAATGAAATCGTCAGGATTGAAAGTGTCGTTGTCCCAGACTTGAATAACCAAACGAGGTGGAAGACGTTCTTCAGTTGTGTCCAAACTCCAGAAATGAAGCTATGGAGAAATACAGGTGAGATTTAAAACAACCATTTACACACCTAAAAACACACAAGTTGTTACAGGTCTGCAAACAAGTTGTTACAAATCTATTCACAAGCTATATCGACAAGTTGTGTTCGCGTTGCTTGTTTCTAGTTGTTGTAACAAGTTGGAACAAGCTGTTAACAACATGTAACAAGCTTAATGGCATTATCAGTCTATCAGACTTGTTACAAGGTTGTTCTAACAAGTCTGATACACTCATGATATTACAAGAATGTTACAAGATGACGACACCAGGTTGCAACAATATTGTTATATCATGACTGTATCGGACTTGTTGGAACAAACTTGCAGGAAGTCTGAAACAGGACGGAAATCTACATTCATATTCCAACCATGTGTCCGCCATTGTAAAATAACAACAAGATCAACATTATCGTACCTTTTTCTTCACTACCATAATTTTCTCAGCTTCGAGATAGTCGAATGGGAACAACATACGCCAGTTGAAGTTACCTTCACCGTTCAAAGATCTGAAGTAAGTTGTAAGATAAAAAGATGATAAGCATGCAAATAGGCTGTATGTTTGCAGCAGCGTTTTTTATGTGTACCATCTCGCTTTTTCAAAGGTTTGTGGCTATAAAGTAGGCGTGTTTTCGGCATACCATTATGGCCTTATAGCAACTTCTAGAATGGGAAGCTTAGACATTATTGCTGATAGAGGTACAGTATAGAATAAGACCCCGTTCGCACGATACCGGCAGAGTTTGAAAACGGTACAAAATTCTTAGGTTTGTAGGGGTTGCGTTCACACGATGCCGGTATGAAAAATGTGAAACCGTAACGCAAACTGTAAGAGTTTGAAAACGGTATGCAAACCACAAGAGTTTGAAAACGGAACGAAATTCTACCGTCAGAGTGCCGTGTACCCCTAACCGTAAGAATTTCATTACGGTTATGCAAAATGAAATTAACAAAACTGCAAAAGGTGTTGTTGGATATTTTATTCTGTCTATTTTAACTGATTTGTGCAGCATATTGTCAAAGCGGAATATAATCCATGCCGGTATCGTGTGAATGGGGTATAAGTAAAGTGATTAGATTATACACCCTTTCGAAAAGTACGACACTAAGCCAAAGTCCAACATCTCAAACACGAAAACGAGGCCCTATAGCGAAGGTGACATTCTTTCCAGAAGGGTGTATTTGGTTACCGATAATGTGTGTCCGTCTTCAATTTGTCTTCAATTCCAGCTATCCAACTAAAAGATAACACAATATTAGCACTTACGTTCAAATGAAACCAGCGTTTGCTCTTCGTGTCAGAAATAATCAGAAATTGCTCTAAACAATGATATCACAGTTTTTACCACTTGACATAAATATCACTCATCTGTTCGCCAACAAGATTACTTTCTTCCAAATAGACGTCGGATGTGTTCCAAACAATAACACGGAGTTCGTATCTAAAAATGTAAAAAATAACTTTAAAATAGTAAAATAGTCGAGTGAAAATGAAATAAAATATGACTTCATCACTGACTTATCCCAAATTGCTTTGAAGGCCTCTACCTTCCTGTTACCCTCTGCTTTCTTAAGATTTCTCTACTTACTTGGCAGCAACACGGGGACCGATATCAACAGGATCATTTGGTGCACCAATATGTTTAGGGAAGATGTCGACAAATAACTGCAGTTTACCCTAAAATAAGAAAAGAAGGATGGTGTGAACTCCTACACGGCAAGCGCTTTTACGATTTTATGAATACGGGTGTAACTTGTATGGAGAAGTTAGGGACAATGCCTCTTTAAAAAAGGGTTGAACATACTTGCTCCATATCAGGTTGTATAGCAGTATAAAGTGGCCTCGTTTCCACGTGCTCAGGTACGATCTCACCAAACGAGTTCAGAACGTGAAGAGCCAAACGTTCGCGAGTTGCTCCCAAATGTTGATGTAATATGATGCCATCCTCTAGAAAAGAGAAAATATGATCGCTAATAAGACAAGGTTCTGGGAAAACAAGCAAACATCAATAGACTTTTCCCCTTTTGAGTGAAATTTTGACTAGACAAGTCTGGACAAAAATTTCATCACAGCTTGAAAGAGCATCACAAAATTAGTAATATTCCAAAGTTTCGTTACGAAATGTTGTAAAATGCGGATAATATAGCCTTGCGAAGTTTGCAATTTTCAGTCATTTTGTATTACAAAC